GAAAATTGATAAATGATAACGATACTACGAAGGGATCTCCTGAAGAGACCCAAAATCTAATTAGTTCTGAGATTCCTAAAGAAATCAACGAACCCGAGACTCAAGTGAGTGAGAAGCTTTTAATAAGTTCTATTGGTGAAGGAATTAATTTAAATCGATCTGAAATAGTGGTGGATAATATTTTTGCATATAATGTTGCAATTAACATTATGCAAGATAGTGAGGATCTTGAACCCCGATCTGTCGAAGAATGTCGACAAAGATCTGATTGGCCAAAATGGTAAGATGCAATTCAATCAGAATTGAACGCACTTGCTAAAAGAGAGGTCTTTGGACCAGTAGTCCAAACACCTGCTGGTATAAAACCAGTTGGTCATAAATAGATTTTTGTGCGAAAAAAGAATGATAAAAATAAAATTGAAAGATACAAAGCTCGCCTTGTCGCACAAGGATTCTCACAACGACCTGGATTCGATTTTGATGAAACATATTCACATGTTATGGATGCCATAACATTTCAATATCTCATCAGTTTAGCACTACATGAAAAGCATGAAATACATCTAATGGATGTAGTTACAGCTTATCTGTACAGTTCGCTTGATAATAAAATTTATATGAAAATCCCTGAAGAATTTAAAATGCCTGAAGCAAATCCAAAATCTCGGGAAAATGTATTCAATCAGATTACAAAGATCTTTGTACGGTTTAAAGCAATCTGGCGGTATGTGGTATAATCGCCTCAGTGAATATTTGCTGAAAGAGGGTTACATAAATGGTGTTATTTGTCCATATATTTTTACTTTAAAAAATGGCATTAGAATTTGTTATACTTGTTATTTATGTTGATGACATAAATCTTGTTGGAACTCGAGAAGAGCTCCAAAAGGCAATTGAATATCTTAAGAAAGAATTTGAGATGAAAGATCTTGGAAAGATAACTTTGTCTTGGTCTGCAAATTGAACATTTAGCTGACCGGATCTTTATCCATCAATCTGCCTATACAGAAAGGGTCCTAAAATGCTTTTACATGGACAAAGCACACCCATTGAGTACACCAATGGTTGTTCGATCACTTGAAGTGAATAAGGATTTGTTCCGACCTCCAGAAGAGGATGAGAAACTCCTTGGTCCCGAAATACCTTATCTTAGTGCAATTGGTGCACTTATGTATCTTGCTAATGCTACAAGGCCTGACATAGCATTTTTTATTAATTTACTAGCTAGATATAGCTCTTCTCCTACACAGAGATATTGGAACGGGATTAATCATATATTGAGATATTTAAAGGGAACACTTGATATGGGTTTATTTTATTCTAACAAAGGTAGTGCATATCTTGTTGGTTATGGAAATGCAGGTTATTTATCTGATCCACATAAAGTTCGATCTCAAACCGGGTACGTGTTTATATGTGGAGGTACTGTCATATCATAGCGCTCTACAAAGAAATCTATTGTTGCTACTTCTTCAAATCATGCTGAGATAATAGCTATTCATGAAGCAAGTAGGGAATGCGTATGGTTGAGATCATTGATTCATTTTATTCAAGGAAAATATGGTTTGGAATGTGATAAAAGATTCACAATTTTATACAAAGACAATGCTGCATGCATAGCCCAATTAAAGGGAAGATTTATAAAAGGAGATAAAACGAAGTACATTTCACCAAAATTATTCTACACACATGATCTTCAGAAAAATGGTGACCTTGATGTGTAACAAATCCGCTCAAGTGACAATCCGACAGATTTATTCACTAAATCTTTGCCAACTTCAACTTTTGAGAAGATGATATACAAGATTTGAATGCGGAGACTCAAATATTTGAAACAAGATTTTTATCAGGGGGAGTAAAATACGCGCTATACTATTTTTTCCTTACTAAGGTTTTTTCCACATGGTTTTCCTTATAAGGTTTTTAATGAGACAATTAGTTATGCGTATTACTAAATATGTGTACTCTTTTTCCTTCACTAGGATTTTTTTCCCATGGGGGTTTTCCTAATAAGGTTTTAATGAGGCACATTATCTTTTAATGAACATCAAAGGGGGAGTGTTATAAATATATTATATTATGGATGTTCATTTAGTACTCCGTTGTAAATAAGCTTCATGAAGAAGTTTATCTATATGAGACTCCGCCGTAAATATGTTTATCTATTTAGTACTCTATTGGAAATAAGTCTCCTGAATAAGCTTATCCTTTCAGTACCCCGTTATGGATAAACATCACACCCGATAGAAGATTATTTATATCTGGTACAATGAGCTTATCCTTTCAGTACCCCGTTATGGATAAACATCACACCCGATAGAAGATTATTTATATCTGGTACAATGAGCTTATCTTTTCAGTACCCCGTTATGGATAAGCATCACACCCGATAGAAGATTATCTATATCTGGTACAATGAGCTTATCCTTTCAGTACCCCGTTATGGATAAATATTACCCCGGGAGAAGATTATCTATATGTGGTACAATGAGCTTATCCTTTCGGTGCCCCGTTATGGATAAACATTACCCCGGTAGAAGATTATCTATATGTGGTACAATGAGCTTATCCTTTCGGTGCCCCGTTATGGATAAACATTACCCCGGTAGAAGATTATCTATATGTGGTACAATGAGCTTATCCTTTCGGTGCCCCGTTATGGATAACCATTACCCCGGTAGAAGATTATCTATATGTGGTACAATGAGCTTATCCTTTCGGTGCTCCGTTATAGATAAACATTACCCACAGTAGAAGATGATCTATATCCGGTATAGTAGCAGCTTGTTTTCTTTTATAAATAGAGGAGATTTCAATTCATTATGTACATAAATTTGAAGTTTGAATAATATATCAGTTTCTCTCTATACTTGTCTTTACTTTACAGTTTTTATTTTATAACAAAAATATTTATTTATTTCTTCTACAATGATTTATTTGCTCTATGCCTCTAAATAGATATGAGTATATCGTTCTAATCTTGTACTATTAAAATGTTATTTAAAATTTAGGATCACTATTCTATTCACTACCGCCACACAAAACAGTGCCACCTATCATCATCATTAGCTTTTATCGTGTGCTTATTTTTTACAATACCATGCATTTAAATTTGTTCTCGAAACTTTTGTTTTGCATTACTAACCACGGGTAAATTTAGATAGTCCTAAATTACACGTTACGTTACATTTTTATGTAGAGGGGATGATTATTTCATCATTATAATAGTTAGTGAGGTAAGACTTAATATTTTACCTCTCATTTGTTTCTTTAAAATTTAGCTACTACGGAGATAGGCGAATTTAAAATATGAACTCTATTCTTAGCATTGAGTTCATTGTATTTTTAAAATTATAGTTCATATCTATTGATTTTTGAAATTTTGATGGACTTTAACATATAAATTTATGTATTCGTATTAAAAGTATTGAATTAAGTTGAATTCAATACTTCTTTGTCACATCCGCCCCACGGAGGCTTTATTGTAAATAATGGCACACAAGAAGAGGGAAAAAGGGAAAGAAGTGATGGAAAGCAGACGGATGTTCCAAAGAACAAAATGATTGTTAATAAGAATAACATATGGAGGATATTTCTTACCGACTTCAAGATAATTTAATAAGATAACAAAGATACCATATTGTATAACTAAGGAGAGGCGGGACTAATATCTATGTTTATATAGACAACTGAAAGCACCTGTTATTATTATATTATTTATATAATAATAAAGATGAAAGCGTGGATACAATATGCTTAAAGAAAATTATTACCATTATCTCAATCGGGCCAATAAACAACTCGCATTTGCTGTAATAGCCTAAAGAATAGCAAGTGGACAAACAAGAGGATTTATTAAGTTAATTAAACTTACAAGATATGGATCTATCACATATCACAGGTCATTAGTAGATAAGCATCACCCTTAAAATATGCTGGCTGTATTTGAAAGGGATAAACGTGTTTTTGCTTTAAACGGATGATCTTAGTGTCATATGACAATTTAATGTGTATCTAATTAGGATTAGCACTTAATGACAAACAGTTGTTTCTTAATTTTTTTTAGGAGTGGGACTGTGGGAGGGAGGTTTCCTGCAATGTTGCCATTCCCTAATTAAAAGGCAATAGGAAGTGATATTGCGTGAAAAATAATATTTGGAGCAATATGTTCTGTTTTATGAAGATCATTCAGGATATTTTTTTATTTTTTATTTTTAAAACACCAGGAAATTGAGAAAATTATATTTGAGTACAATACCATTTATCTTACATTTTGCCTTTTTCTTTGTGAAGACCTTACGGAAAAAATTCCAAAAAAATTGAGCATACTAATAAAAGTCTCGATTCAAAAAATTACTTTTTTTTAGTTTGATTTGATTTATCGATTGCAATTAATTTGATTTGATAAATAAAATGATCGAACCAATATACCCTTGAAATTTGAAGGAAAAGACAAAATTTGGGGGGATTTTTTTTTTTATTTTTGGTATTTTTAAAACACCAGGAAATTGAGAAAATTATATTTGAGTACAATACCATTTATCTTACATTTTTCCTTTTTCTTTGTGAAGACCTTACGGAAAAAATTCCAAAAAAAAAAAATTGAGCATACTGATAAAAGTCTCGATTCAAAAAATTAATTTATTTTTAGTTTGATTTGATTTATCAAATGCAATTAATTTGATTTGATAAATAAAATGATCGAACCAATGTACTCTTGAAATTTGAAGGAAAAGACAAAATTTGGGGTTAATAAAGTAACGGTAAATGGCTCCCCGTCAATGAATGAAAGTCGTTGTGTTATTTTGGGCACGTGATAACAGAACATGGAAAAAAGACTAGTCCACTTGCCCAGTGAGAAACTTCAAAGAAGCACCAATTCACAAATACTATTCCTTAAATAATTCAGACATTAATAGTTTAGTGGACCCCCTTTTACAGGTGCATGTATCTTCTTGCTCCACTGTTGTCTCTCTGTTTCACTATATATACCTCAATCCCTCCTTTTTCAGAATTCAGAACCTTTTCATCTTTATTCTCTACCATCAACACAACACATAAAAAAATCCAATTGCTTAAAACTCATAACAAACAAAATGTATCAACCAATTTCGACCGAGCTACCTCCGACGAGTTTCAGTAGTCTCATGCCATGTTTGACGGATACATGGGGTGACTTGCCGTTAAAAGTTGATGATTCCGAAGATATGGTAATTTATGGGCTCTTAAGTGACGCTTTAACTGCCGGATGGACGCCGTTTAATTTAACGTCCACCGAAATAAAAGCCGAGCCGAGGGAGGAGATTGAGCCAGCTACGATTCCTGTTCCTTCAGTGGCTCCACCTGCGGAGACTACGACGGCTCAAGCCGTTGTTCCCAAGGGGAGGCATTATAGGGGCGTTAGGCAAAGGCCGTGGGGGAAATTTGCGGCGGAAATAAGGGACCCAGCTAAAAACGGCGCACGGGTTTGGCTAGGGACTTATGAGACGGCTGAAGAAGCCGCGCTCGCTTATGATAAAGCAGCTTACAGGATGCGCGGCTCCAAGGCTCTATTGAATTTTCCGCATAGGATCGGCTTAAATGAGCCTGAACCGGTTAGACTAACCGCTAAGAGACGATCACCTGAACCGGCTAGCTCGTCAATATCATCGGCTTTGGAAAATGGCTCGCCGAAACGGAGGAGAAAAGCTGTAGCGGCTAAGAAGGCTGAATTAGAAGTGCAAAGCCGATCAAATGCTATGCAAGTTGGGTGCCAGATGGAACAATTTCCAGTTGGCGAGCAGCTATTAGTCAGTTAAGATATGAGCTAAGAACTCAATTGTTAAGTTTGGAGTGAATAGAAACAGCAAACTACTCCACTTTGCTCATAGTTGGACCAAGGAGGCCATTTGTATTATGTCTATGGCGTGTAAAGTGTCACCTTTCAGTTTAAAAACAGTATTTCTTGTCCTCACTTTGGATTGATTAAATGGATAATACTCGCTTTCGACTGGGTTACTCTAGTGGTGAGCACCCTTCACTTTCAACCAAGAGGTTGTGAGTTCGAGTCACCCCAAGAGCAAGGTGGTGAGTTCTTGGAGGGTGGGAGCCGAGGGTCTATCGGAAACAGCCTCTCTATCCCAGGAGGGTAGAGGTAAGGTCTGCATACAAACTACCCTTTTCAACCTCCACTAGTGGAATTATACCGAGTAAAGTGCCAAAAGGTCGTAAATAATAAAGGACGTTGTCGTTAGCACTATAGAATGACAACCAAAGTATATCTTCTTAATTGAGTGAAAATTAATTAAAACCAAAAGGTTCATATTAGTAAAGGAATTAAGTTACTATTATTCGCTCTGATCCATAATAAGTGATCATTTTACTTTTTTATTTTGGTCCAAAATAAGTATCCGTTTACATAATCAAGAAGAAATTAATTTTATTTTTGAAGGAAAAAGTATTTTATTATTAATCTCTGAAAGCTCTCTGCAACTATCACAAATCTCCACTTATAAAATAAGCTAGTAATATTCCTATTTATAATAGTACTCAACCTATGTCAACTAAAAACATGAAAGCCTATTCCTATATTAATTCTGACCATAAATTCTATTTAGACGTGAATTAAATAAATTAAATCCTAAATAATTAAGGTTTCCTATTAAAAACTTAAAGTAAGATTGGCAGAAAACTAATTCGACTATACTAATTAGAGAAGAAACTAAGTTATTAAATATTAATATGAAAACAAAGAAACAAATTTATCAATAATAAGAAATAATTATATAAATTATATACCATAAATAAATAAATAAAAATTTGGGGCCCTTAAATTCTTGGGGCCTAAAACAAGTGCTTCACTTACTTAAGGGTCTAGGCGGCCTTGTTACTCCCTACAATCCATAATATCCTTTTGGCATTGCATTCATTTAAAAATATACTTACTCCTAAGAACAATAAATATTTTGACTAAATTACCCTTACTTAAAATTTGCTTATTCTTAACTTGATACATTGAGATAATAAATAAGGGTAAATTTTGGAAAAATAAAATTAATTTCTTATTGATGATGTAAAATATCACTTATTTTGGACCAAAATAAAAGATCAAAAAATCACTTATTACGGACCAGAGAGAGTAGCATACAATTACAAGCAATTCGATAAACTGTTGTACTGCAAACAAGGGAGCAAGAATCTTAAATGGAGGAGAATATATCTTGAACAAGGAATATAACAAAAATAAAATTAAGAAAAAAAACCCAAAGAAAATACAAATCATTGGCACAAACTTTTTTAACTCGTCATTATTATAATTTGGAGAAAGGAGAATCCTGTTTACATACTTTTTACATTACATGTTGATCTCTGAATACGAAGTTCAATTTTAAGATCATTTATTAATAATTTGATGTGTGCATATTTCCTTGCACATGTATCCTCACTTCTGTCACATTAATTTGCAAGGACTTTCTCTGTTCTCCCACCCACAAACCGAAAGTGTAAATCTTTTCTCATTGCAAATTTAGAAGTACCAGAACTAACAATAATGAAATAATAGCTAACTATTTTTTTTTTTTTGGAAATTGAATCTTAACAGATAGTAATAGATATATGAAGTAACGAGTTCTTTCAGCAACGTACATTTATGTGACTAAATGTTTTACTCTTCACCAATATTTGGAGAAGTGGTTTTGATAGATCTTGGGGTCATTTATTTTCTTGTATATGTTTGGAAAAAAACTTTGTATAAATTGTATGGTGGTTGGTTGTTAAATGCAAACTATTAATTCGGTTAGAAACAATGTATTAAGTGTGCAGTTTCGCCAGGTGAGTTTTCCCGGTAAAACACCATATTGTCAAATTTATTGTGCTATAACGAAATGATGCTCGGGTAAGTCGATCAAAGTCAGAACAAGGAAGGAATATTTATTTATACTCATAACGATCGGTCCACATTAAATGCTCGAATGATAGAATGACACGTGAAATCGGGCAGATGAAAAATGAAGTAAGTAAAAACTAAGACGAAGGACAACAACTTCGATTGGCACCGGGTAGATCCCGAAGGAAACATTATCAACGAGAGCAAATGAATACTTATCACCAGATGACATTCAATGAAGAATATTCCTCAGTATTAAATACGCAGCCGCTACAGAGAATTTTAGCATTCATGATCTGCCATTATATATTCATCAATGGCCTCCATTATTGTCATTTAAGAGGGGTTTGATCCTGAGGACCTTGTTCCCTGTGTATAGCTATATATAGTGGCTTTAACAAATATTGAAACACACGAAAATTCTGATAAACTTATGCTACACGTTATTCCCAAGCTAAAGAATATTTTTATTTTCTGTCTAACATTATTCTTATAGCTGCCTTCTGAAGCCTTGCTCCCGGAATCAAGTTGTCTGATATTTATCTCGATTTCAACGCTAAGTCTTGCATTTTAATTAATTTATATATCATTTTGGGATCAAATCGATTTGTTTGTCTATAAACCACGCTATAAATTCAACTGTATCATTTTACGGGTAAACAGTTTGGTGCCCACCGTGGGGCTTAGACAGCTACCTCATTGAATTGATCCTTGCATCTATTACTAACGTGTTTGATTTTTTGTTTCATAGCAAAAATCGAAAAAATGGCACCTAATGATGTCAACATCACACACAAAATTGAGACGCAGGAGAATCTGCCTCAACATGAGGATTCGATCAGTGACACCCGCAACGAGGAGGACGTAGCTACTCCGGTCCATGGCGGGCGTTATCCCCGATATATGCGGGAGACAACTCCTAATGACGCTGAGGACGAGCACGTTGCGGAGACAGTAAGGATCTTGACGGAGCAGTAAATGGCCATCATGGGCTATTTTTCAAGGCAAGACCAGCCAATGATGGAATTGAAGCAGGCATTGTGAGATGCTTCCAACAATGTGAATGGAAGAGGCCATGTTCCTCCCGGCGCTCCCGCAAATCAAACAACTCAAAGGGTTGATAACAACAGCCCGAGTGGAGAAGTTGGCTTCATTAGAACCGGGGGGATCGACAACGGATCTGATAACGACAACGACAATGATCCCTTCAAAACCGAATTCATGAGATTTATGAGGGAAATGAACGAGCGGATGGATCTGAACACAAAATAGTTCCACGCTCAAATGGGCCGAATTTAGGGTGCACCACCAGATTGAAGGGTCCGGACTCGAAGAACTACACCCAACTGCCGTTCAAACCGAGCGCAGCACCAGAATTGATTTCGAAGTGGTTCAAAATGCTGACATACTGAAGTATGATGGGACTTTAGACCCTCAGGAGCATATCGCAACCTATACAACGCCGGTGAAAGGAAACGACTTGGCTCAACATGAAATTGAGTCTGTCTTACTTAAGAAATTCGGAGAAACCCTCACGAGGGGGGCCTTGACATGGAATTCACTCTTACTCGAACACTCGATCGATTCCTTTAAAATGCTCATAGATTCTTTCATCAAGGCCCATGCCGGGTGCAGGAAGGTCCAGGCCCAGAAGGCAGACATATTCTAAATTTCGCAAGGAGAGTCTGAATTGTTGTGCAAGTTCGTGATCAGGTTCCAGAAAGAGCGGATGTTGGTACCAGTCATGCCAGATGAATGGGAAACTGAGGCATTTACTAAAAGGTTGAACCCCAGGAGCGCCGGCGCTTCCCGGAAGTTGAAAGAAAGCTTGCTCGAGTTCCAAGAGATCACATGGGCGGATGTTTATACCTGCTATAAATCAAAGATAAAGGATAAAAGATGATCATCTCGGGTTCCCAGCATCAACCAATGGTCGAAATCGGGAAAAGAATTAGGATAAATCAAAAGCTGATTTTAATACAGATCGGTGGTCTTCTAAGGGTCATTTTTTGCCCTACAAAAGGGCCGAAGGATGTAACAGCAAGGGATTCCGGTCGGTGAAAAGGTTCGCCCCCAATAGAAGTGTTGACCACGGCCGGAACAACAGGTCGTTGCAAGACAAAGAGGTATCGAGTTCCCGGAATTCCACTTATCCTAGGATGTCCGAATATAATTTCAATGTCAGCATAGTGGAGCTAGTATTGACGATGAGAAACATCAAAGAAGTGCGGTTCCCGAGGCCGATAAATTCAATCCTAACTAGAGGGATCCTAATTTATGGTGCGAATATCATGGGAATAATGGCCACTGAACTAGGGAATGCCGACATCTACGTGAGGAGGTGGCAACACTATTAAAGAACACTCATCTCAAGGAATTCTTAAGCGACCAGGCTAAGAACAATTACGGTTGCAACCGAGACAACGCAGAGCCCTCGAAGATAGCGGAAGACCCTCTTCGACTAACTATAAACATGATTTTCGGGGGAAACAAGATCAACGATGTAATCTTCTCGGCGGTAAAAAAGACAAAGATGTCAGTGACTCATAGCAAGAGACTCCGGGAAGTCTACGAAGACGACATCACCTTCACGGAAGAAGACGCGAATGGACTCCTTCTGTCGTACAATGATGCCCTGGTAATTTCTCTTAACGTTTTAGATTTCAAGATTAAACGTGTTCTGGGTTACCCAGGAAGTTCAGCCAGCTTCATTCAATGGAGAGTGTTGGAACAAGCCAAGCTAACCAGAAGCATCATTCAGGCAACATAACTCCTCGCCGGGTTTAACTTAGGAAGTGTGACAACCCAGGGGAAGATCTTACTGCCTATGAATGCCGAAGGGATAATGAAGACCACCCTAAAGTGGCGGACGGCGACGTGTGCTACAACATAATTCTCGTTAGATCATGGTTGCATGAGATGAAAGTTGTGCCACCAACATATCATCAAATGATGAAATTCCTAACTCCAGAGGGAATCAAACAAATAAGAGGGGATCAACCGGCAGTAAGGGAAATGAATGCAGTATCGGTTTCCAGCAGCAAAGGGATGGAACTCAATGGATAGCAATTACAGAAACTGGCGACTGCTCCCGAACCAAATGAATATGGGGGGGGGGAGGGGAGTCGTCAAAATCCTACTAAGTACCATGATATTTTCAGGTACCGAAAGAAACGGACGTGACCAAGTCCAGGGAGAAGAACTCGAACAAGTAGCTTTGTTCGAAAAATTCTTGGAGAGAAATTTCCACTTAGGGATAGGCCTCAACCCAAACTCAGGTAAGAATTTATTGATTTTCTTAAAACTAACGTTGATTGTTTTGCATGGTCGCACGTGGATATGACAGCTATCCAGATATAGGTGGTCGTGATCAAGCTATGCCTGGATCCAGGTATCCCACCGGTAAGACAGAAAAAGTGCCTGATAGTCGAGGTCAGAAATAGGTTTGTCAAAGAAGAGGTCTCGATTACTTGACATCGGTTCAATCCAAGAGGTAAAGTATC